CATGTCTACTCTTTCCTGGATTGAGAGAATCTAGATTGTCTTTTTGTAAACCATCCCTTCCAAGGTTTACGTTAGCATTTGTTAATATGTCAGAATAAGACTCTATGAACTTGGCTGAAGTAGTCTGTTGTCCACTTATCTGACTTGTTCTTTTCTCTTTTTCTGCCTTTTCTTTTGATTGTTGTTGTGTCATATTATTGTGTGGCTGCTTTTGCAGTGGGCTTTTAATTGTAACTGTATAATTATTAGCCCTTTCTTGAGGTGGTTGTTCTGTTAATGTTTGACAGGTTGTGTGAATACTTTCATTTGATTTTGTAAACTTGTTTAAAAACCCTGAGAGCACTCCCGATTGACCTGCTGTCTCTATCTGTGTTGGATCAGTCTGGTTATGTGGTATTTTGTTTTGCTGTTGTGTTTCATAGGTGTTTTTGGGCTGCAACTGTTGAGCTGTGTTTTCTGAAGGGGATTTAAAAAGTCCAGAAAACAGACTACTTGCATGTGTTGTTTTTTGCGTTGTGCTATTTTTTGGCTGATCTTGACTAGAAACTTGGATATTCGTTGTCTTTATTGGCTCATTATTGGATTTGCTTAGTGTCATTCCATGCTGATGAGCTGATGGTTGACTTTGTGTGTTTATGTTGTCTGCTGAAGCAAATTTGAAAAGTCCAGATAGAAAACCACCTTGTTGGGATGGTGCTTGCTGAAGTGGAACAGTCTGCTGTCGAGCAAATCCTGGTTTATTTGTCTCGTATCGGACACCTTGGTGATTCTGAGGAATGTTTTTAATAGGATGACCTTGGCTTGGACCTTGAGTACTCAGTTGGCTTAGACCTTGTTGACTGCTTTGGTGGTGAACTGTTTGACTCCTTGAAATATTCTCAGAGGATTCAAATTTGAGCAAGCCAGATAGCAGCCCCTTTTCTGGAGTGTGTGTTTGCTGAGTTCTGTGTGAAGTCTGCTGCTGACCAAAGTAATTGCCGGGAATGTTCCTTTGTGCTTCACTATCACAAGATTGTCCCTTTTGTTGCAGGTTTTTTGTAGATGAAATGTTCAATAAACCTGAGAGAAGGCCCCCCATCTGTGGAGTTGAAGAGGTTTGTTCTGGGGCTGTGTGTTGGGAAAATTGTGTGGGATTATTTCTGTTGAATGGCTGATTGTTAGCATGCGGTGATAAATGGCCAGATAAGTCACTACTAGAGCCAAATGTAAGAATTCCAGATAGCAGTCCACCTTGTTTTGGTTGATTGACAGTCTGCTGCTGCATTCCAGATTTCTGATTTGATGTATGTTGGGCTTGTGAGACAGATGACAGTTTACTGTTCTGTGGTTGCTGATTACAGATTACATTCTGGTCTAGACCAGAGGGTGCTGGGGTAGGGTTGAATATGCTGGAAAACCACCCTTTCTCACTATTTTCCTGGTGCACAGGAGGATTCTTGGTCAAGGTGGTCGAAGTTGTTGAAGTCAGATCATGCTGAGGAATCTGTGTTTTTATGGAGGCACTGATGTCTTCACTGGATGCAAACTTTAAAAAACCAGAAAGCACACCACCTTCTGCTCTGGGACGTTGCTGAGTGGAAACGTTTTCAGATGAAGAGAAAGGTACTTTAGGCTTACTAGTCAATGCTGGGTCTTCAACTGGTTCCACTAGTTGGGGGCTCTCTGTGGTTCTAAACACTGGATAAACTGCCACAGGTGGAGCTCCGTGGGGTGGAACAGGGCCAGCAGGTGTGATCAGTGAACTTAATGACTTCTTAAAAGGGCTAAAGAAACTGGTGTTTGCAGAATGTGTTGGCCCAGTTGACCTTTCTGGCTCTGGAACAGGAATACTCCCTTTATTCAAAATTGACTGAATTTGTCTCTCATATAAGTTTCCATCATAATTGTGTCCTGAATATTTTTCATGTGAAAGTCTTCTTAATTTTTCTGATTCACTACCTCTGTTATCAAGCCATCTCTCTTCCAACTGTGTATGACTCTGAGAACATGTGGATTCCAACACCTGTTTGCATTCAGCCAAATTCACATTATTAGCTGAAAAAAGCTTCAAAGGATTTAATCTACCCAAGACTGAGTTTTCTGGAGCACTTTGAGGTTTGGTTACAAGCTTGGGTACATGGTCTTTTGCACTTGTTTGAGTCTGACACCTGCTGGGAGTTTGTGTTTCTTGATGATGACTGTGTATTTTGGCATCATGTGGTGGGTGAGAAGGCAAAGAATTGAATGATTTTTCAGGAGAACTTTCTACTGGAGAGACAATAGCTACGGGAGCTGTGTTATTTGACTTAGGAATGAAGGACAACAATTTTGTTAGTCCAGATTGTGAGGATTGTGCAGATGATACTTGTGGAGATAGGGCAGGCTGTTTAGGGCCTCCACCAACTTTGTCAGTGAGAGAAGTAAACAATGAGCTCATAGCATTTTTTACTCCCGAAATGCCCTGATCAGAAGCAGCATGTGATTGGGATTCTTCTCTTAAATCCTTTGAATTACTTTGCTCCTCCCCAAATGAATCAGTTCTATTGCTACCATAGGAGGATAGCCTAGACTTGCTTGATTTAGGCAGGGATCCATATTTGCTAATTTCCTCTTCTTTTTCAGCCAGGTATTCAGACACTGTTTCAACAAGACATTGAAGCTCATCCATAGGATCAACATATTCATCACTTGGCTCTTCTACGGGAGAGAGCATTGCCTCTGAAACCCATCCTCCTGATTTAGGTTTCCCATACTTCTTCTCCCAAAGGCTCTGTGAATGTTCTATGTGGTCCTCATAGGAGAAAGAATGCCTATCTTTATAATGTCTTTTGTTCTCTGAGCGACACTCATCAGCCATAAAGGCAATGTCATTAACACTGTCCTCTGCTCCTAGAGGGTGGTGCAGAGGGCTCTCCATTTCAAAATCAAACTGTGCTTTCCTTCTAGCATCTTGCCCTTTTTTGTATGCCACATAATTCTCCAAAGTGCTGTCCAGCTCATTTTTAGCCCACATCCTTGTTTTGTAGAGAAGCCCATTCTGATATGGTCTCAGATCTGATGTCATACGCTCCTCCTCTTCCTGCATCTCTGCTACCTGTCGCATGAAAAGCTCCCCTCTTTTCTCACGGAGGAGTGCAAGGTCAGCGGGAAAGGTCTCTTTTCTCATTTTGTCTGCTTCTGGACTGAGAAACCCTCCTGGGTCTGTAATCTTTTTCTTTCGCCGACGATCAATAGTATCATAACCCTCAGGATAGGTGGCAGGCAGACCACCACTATGCTTTGTATTCTGATGGATAGGTGAATGTGATAGCTCGGAGTAGGGTCTTCCCATGCGAAAGATAACGCTGTCTTCATCATCTATAAAGTCACTTAGCTGTGGCTTGCTTTGCCCCTTGTATTTGTTTTCCCAATCTTCAACCCCCATGCCAGAATCTACAGGTATAATTCTGACTCTTCCTTTCTGATTTAAAGAGCTTCTTTTTGTTTTTTTAAGTAAAAAATAATAATTTAATGAGGGTGTGGGAATGGATAAAGGGATGGAAAAGAGGCATAGAAAAAGAAAAAATGCAAACAAAAACACAAGTTAAGCCACACAGTAAATTATGACAGAAACAAATCTAAATAAATATTTTCGTAATGATGAGCTGATCTATAATATATATGATAAGCAATATGTAACATTGCATTCTTTAATAAACATTTTTTGCAGTTTTTGATGATCTTAACTAAACTGCCCAGAAGGCATACCAAAAGACCAGAACATAACATGTTACACATTTCATACATTTGACAGGGGTAATAAAACTCTTTGTTTGCAAGTGTGAGATTGTGTGCATATAGCTCCATGTTTGCACGTGCCTCACTGAATTTAGATTGTTGTAAATCCCCACTGCAACAAACATGCTTATCAGCACTTCCACAGTCTGTCTGTAAAAGTCTTAACAGGAAATGTCTGCAAAATCACCACCATATGGCATTCATGGTAGAGGTTTTTTTGTTACAACTGAAAGGCATGTGTCTGTCACTGACCTATTTCCTCCAGAGGTGTGAAAGAGGGATTTCCTCTGTGATATACCCAGAGCATTTCAAAATAACAGAAACTTTAAACAACCCAACACACCCTCAAGACAAAAAAGAAACATGAACAATGAAGGGTTTTTTTTCTGTGACTGTAATCACATTTTTTTTCTGATGTAGAATTATCCGGATCAACTCCCTATCAGTCAACACAGGCAGATTTGTAGCAGTCTCACTGGTGCACATGCATGCTACAGCAAGCGCACAAGATTAAAGTCCATGAACCAAGAATATTTGTTTTCTGGACCAAATACTTCCTGACAGCATTTTAGTGGCGTTGTAGTGACCATAATAACAACAACAAAAAAGAATATATTATTTTTGTATATTAGTAACAATCATCATATAAACACTTTATTTTGGCCATTTGGCCAACAGTAAACAAATAATCCTGATATACTTCCTGATGTACGGAAGACAAAAACATGGGCTTTTGATCAGGTAAACTATTCATGACAAAATTAATTAAGAGGTAATTACCAATTCTTTCTCTGTGAAACAATCTTATCTAAAGTAAACACTTCTGACTAGGTTTTAAACCCTAATTAAGGGAGGCACAAGTAATGTCATTATGATACCAATTACATTTGCATGATTTACCTTTATAATTTCATTGATGTTGATTTAACTCTGGTTATTTTTGAGGTCATAATGAATAGACGACTCATTTTCAGTTACATTATTGAAAACCACTTCTTAAGTTTTGCACTATTTGTGTAAAAAGTGAGTGGGAGAAAAAAAAATTGGCAAATACAGCCATTATCGCCGTGATTATATTACTTTGCATTAGACGGCAGCAGTACACAATAAAGCAACCCATCAAAACGAACTGCTGCAGCGGAAGCAAGAACCATCAGGCTACACTGCCAGTATGTGTAAGGATAAAGAGTGTCTGATCAGGAGTGCATGAGTGAGTGAAGGTATCCCTGGGCGACCCTGTCTACCTGCTTCCTCTTGGGTCCCTGTAGTCCAGGTCGAAACTGTGGACAGAGTCTGTGCAGCCATCCGGGCGATGCTGTGGCCGAGGCCCCATCGGGTACTGGTGCATGGATGAGTTGGGCTGAGCAGTTGTGTGGTAACGTGGAGGCAAACTGTTACTGGTCTCACTGCGGTAATCGCTATCCCGGTCATCTACAGCACTGTCCTGGTCATCCAAGGCTGCAGCAGGTAAAAAGACAAACTCTAAACACCCCATCCTGACAGATTGTAAAATTGTGGAATCAAGTACGTTTAGTAAGATGGCTTCATTTTTCTATCAAACCTTGCTGATTATTAATGTAAAAGAAGTGTATGTATTCTTGTTTGAATTTTTATTAAATATAAAAATGCAAAAAGCTGAAAAAATAAACAAACCACAGTTACCTGATACTAGAGGAAAAGTTAAAAATGCAAACATTTAAAATTTTCTAAAAGAAAAATTGTGCAATTAATGTGAGTATTTCAAGAACAAAATATAAGATGCAACTTTTACTAAACAAGAAAGAAGAGAGTATTCTGTAATTCTGGATCCTAGCAAAAAATAAAAAATAAAGCTGACTAACTGACTAGCAATAGGTTTGTAGAATTATAAGAGCTAATTGTGTACAACCCTGGGGTTATTTGAAAGTGATTTATTTGAAGTAAACAGAGTAGACAGACCCACAGGATGGCACTGCACTCTGGTACAGTCATTCTCAATTAAGAAGGAGAGAGAATCTTCTGAATGAGAAGATTTCCATGCAGGATAAAAACAGATTTTGTCAGGATCGCTCTTATTATTTTCAGGTAAATGCAGACTTCCCCTTGCTCTTATAGCAAAAATATTATTTTTTTGTGATGCTGATTTTTGTTTATAACATACTAAAATAATTGGTTATCACTAACAGGGTTACACTGCAACACAAGACAAAGTTTCTAACAAAACAATTTGCCTCATGTGGCTTTACTTAAATAAAACTCCCACCTGTGCACATGTAGCCTGGGAAATTCATAGTCATGAATATATCAAACCATTACATCACTGCTCGCACTGTTTGTTGCCCCACTAAGAAAATAAAGTGCTGTACACGCAAGCACTTGTGCAAAATGTAAGGCAAAGAGCTGTTCTTCACCTCTCTAGCTGTATGATCCCATAGATTCATCTACAGAATAATTTTCTATAAGAAAAGTAAAGATTGTGAACTTTATTTTTTGATAGCCCAGTTAAGCCTCTATATTTCTACACAAAAACATAAAATAATCACTTTACAAAGGGGCAACCTTGTGTTGAATTAGAGAGAAGAAGACAGTTTGTAGGTGTTCACCCCACACAGCTTCATAATAATTTGTATAACTTCATATAGGAAAGCACCAAAATACACCACTTCTTGAAACTGACCTTACCAGTTCAAAGACAACGTCTACCAAAAGCTAACCATAAGGCTAGTATTGGCTAGGGAGATAGCTAGGCTGGGGTTTGTCGTTTCAAAGTGATAAAGTCATAAGAAGTGATTCATAAATATTTAGCAAAGACTGCCACCTGTCATCTCTGTGAAGGAACTGCAATTCCCTACATTAAACACGTAATAGGGGCTTCCATTGTTAGTCAGACTTCTGGCAATATTTGTTATGTTTTCTGGAATGTACACAATATAATAATAATAAATGATATATGTGTTTTAAAAAAAACCTTCTAACATCAGCACAGGGCATATTGTAGAAAACAGCAAGAGCATGATGGGAGAAAATGTCAAAAGGTAATCAATGAATGCAGTGAGGAAAGAAAAATAAAATTAAGTAATGTGAATTAATTGAATGGGAACCTTATGGTTTACGTGTTACAAGGGGGACATGGGGCTTTATGACATGCAGAAGGGGAATGAGGATTGGCCAAGGGGGAGAATTTCATCAAAGTGTGTTACATACTCAGTGAATCAGCCCATCCGAAATAGTTGCCTGGTAAAAGTGCAGATTTAACAAGTGAGAGGCAAGTCAGAGGAGTCGGGGATTGTGTAAACAAAGAAGACTTAAGTGCTCCTGTGTTGTAATAATTGGACAATGAGGGAGCCCCATAAGTGGCAAACAAACACATAAATTGTCACAAGAGATTTAAAAGAAAAAGAATAAAATAGAAGTAACAAGACAAATGAGTCAGATCCAGAAAGATAGAAAACTGGCTCCATCTAGAGGTTAAAAGTACAACACATTCAGGTACTCACAGCACTGGGAAGCCGCAAATGGCAATGGGTGACTCTGAACATCTTCCTGAAGAGAGTACTAGAGAGGACAGAGAGTGTAAAATGTGCATATAATAAAATTCTTTATTGACTGGAATAATAAACTTCATTTTATATTAAAACTTTCTGGTAAAAACTGTATTTTACCTCATCATGGATTCCCATTCTGTTGATGCGCTCCAGTTTGCCAGTCCAATACTGTGCCTCATCATCCGGGATATCTGGTACAAAAATATGCAGGCAGCAAATATAAACTTCAAGCTTCATTTACCAGTATGCTGTCATAATACATTTTATGTCTGTTCAATTTTTTATAAGCTGTTTGGAAATGAAGAAAATAGTAAGTTAGCAGTAACATACAAAATAAATGTCAAGTGTACAGTGTGGCAAGTTACAGGTTTCCTGAAAAATTATAATACAACATTGAATTTCAAATACACAAAAAATCAAAAGATAACTTTTAAGTGAAACATACAAAATAATTACTCTACATTTACTGTTTGATATGATGCCTGGTAGACTAGTCGTACTTGAAAGGGGGATCTGCACTGCACTGTAGACAGATGCACATTAAAGGCCACACACAACACAAAGGCTGGGGCTTCAAAGACACCACAAACCCACGGCTTTAATGAATGGCTTTGGAAGCGCAGAGTCATGATGGGCTCCTGCAACCTTAAAAGGGCTCCTCTTAATACAGAGGAAGAGGCTCTCTCCCACACAGTGGATACTCTGCTTCAACTCTGATGCCTTTTGATCACAAGGCTTAAGCATTACATGCAGTGCGGTACTAAAATAGTGTAGTGGTCAAGTACAAAAAGGTGGTGGGAGCACAAAGGACACTTCACCATACAATAACTAATTAACTAATACTTTTAAATGTGAATCAAACTTTAATATTGAAAAACTTGCCAATATCAGGTAAATTTAGCTGTTTTTGATTCCTAGCAAGCACCAAATGTCAGGATATTTAGTCTTTATTTATAGATGACTGCAAACACCAAGCTGAACTACAGTTCATATTTCATCTACAGTATTGTAGTCTTGAGTCAACCCTCATTTCCTCATTTTGCTGAGAAAAATTATATAAAGGCGCAACCATTTATTGAAATATGTGGAAACATAAATGAAATACAGTATACAAGACAGAAACAGAGGTTCTAAATGTAATGAGCTTAAAAGTCAATATTGTCTTGACTACCTTTATCCTTTCACACAGCCTGGACTTTCTTAGGCAATCTTTCTTGTACTTTCTTTAAGTAGTGTTCAGGAATTGTTCCCCAGACATCCTGAAGGACATCTAAAGCTCTTCTTTGGATGATGGTAGCTTTTTGGACAGTTCTTTGATCCCATACCTCTTCAATAATGTTAAGGCCTGTTGATCCCTGACTAGCATTCTATAGTGTGTACTACTTCTTTTTTTTTTTTACCCAGCTATGCTTTAACTGCCCTGCCAGTGTGTTTGGGATCATTTTAATGCTATAAAACAAAGCCACTACCAATTAGATTCTTTCCAGATGTTATTATATAGTGAATCAATATCTGATCGCCCTTTTCTGAATTTAAAATTTCATTGCTTTACAACAGATCTCCAATAACACTGCCTGAGATATAACTTCAAAAATTACAGATCCTCCACCATGTTTTATAGATGGCTGCAGACACTCACTGTTCCAGCTCTTTCCTGATATCCCCTGGACATACTGACTAGGGCGGGGTATCGATTTTGATTTTTATAATCGATTAAGTTCCGATTCACAAAGTTCCAATTCGATTCGATTTTGACTCAGACAATCGGAAGTATTATAATTCTGATCAATTATCAGTACATATCCATAATTTACATCAATGTATAAAAACAAAGCTGAAACTTGTGAGACTTCATTAGAGGTTTAATCATCACAGCAGATTCCTTTGTGTCAAAGTAACTGAGGATAAAATGCAGAAAAACGTGAAGGAGATTTTCCTGGCCTGGCTTTTTATAGCAGATAACCACCTTAAAAATATTCTACAGTAGATCAAAAACTGAAGAAAACCATAAATCAACATATGAACATGACCTGATGCTGCTGAGGTGAAGCAGAGCGAAGTTACAAAGGTTTTTATTAGAGACACAGCTAAGTGTTTTGCAATTTGGCATAATTTGTATTTCTTTGATATTGAACAGCAGAAATGAGGCTTTCTTGTCGGAGGTCATTTGTGGAAAAAAAAAAAAGAAAAAAGAAAAGCAGTGATGGCGACAGCGCTGAACACAACGGTAGACTGGTGCGTACTAAGCAAGCGAATAATGCAGAGATCTAAAACACAGATTTAACATGGGAAACTGTTCTTGAAGTACACTGAGAGAGAGAAAGAGCTGTGCAGGAAGTGTGATTTTATTGTGGTGGAAGCAAAACAGCAAGATTATTCAAACTAAAATCGATTTGAATCGGGAAATCGATTTTTTAAACATACCCACTAATACTGACAGTGATTCGAACCAAATTTTCTACATTTCTTAAGTCATAAGACCTGGTGCCACTGATTTTTAATCCAGTATGTGTGTAAACTGATCTGGACCTTGTTGTGTTGGTACCTTTGAGAGCAAATAAAGGTAAGGGAAATTCCAACATTATCAGCATCAACCGATTCTGTGAAATGCACCTATACAGTCCCATCTCGAATTAACTAAGAACTTAACACTCTTGTCAACCTCTGGCTAGTCCAGAAATCAGTAGCTGGAATTATAGTGGCTGTCTATCTTTTACACACAGTCTGTGATCTACCACTCTACCAGATTTTCTGCCCCTATGTAGCCAAATAAATAAATACACCTTTAATGAAATCTGTATTCATATTCTGACATGGATCATTCTAGAAAACACTGATTAAGTGGCTAATGGACCCAAGTCATATATTCCTCTTTCTCATGTTAGAAATGCTTTTGGATATTTCTAATGGTTCCTAAATCCTGTTGCCCACAACAGGACAACCTGGCAAAGACAAAATTATATTTACGGAACCTAAATTAATAAAGGAAGGTCTGCTATTGTTGAATTAGTGACCTCAGCTTATGCAGGACAGAAACAGGCGTCTCATTCTCAAAGGCAACAGATACGGGATGTTACACCATCAGGCAAATATCTAAGACAAATATCTGGACTGCTTCTAGCCATAAAATCCTGCTCGACTCCGCACAAAGGGAGAATGTTATGATGTGACCTTATATTTATCTTGTGTAAACCAGGTTGTTCTGAAAATAGGGGACTTTATTTAAAAATTAATGTGATTCCTAAACAGTTCATAATTTCTTTTTGTAAATATCATTGAGTTAATGTTGAAAGTCTTAAATTCAATGATTATTTGATTTAAAATCCACTGTAGTGGTGCAAAACTATGCAAAAATTATGAATCTTTGTTCAACAATTGTGGACTCAACTGTTTAGCCATTAGATTTTCTGTTCAAAAGAAATTACTACTAGGTACCATATGTCTGCACAAGACCAGTGGATACCAGGCTATGATGTTACACACTGCTCCAGGCTCGACACTTTTTTTTTTTTGGTTCCTGACATTTCAGCAGGAAACATTTGTGACCTTTGAGTAACTCTCCAGATCAAGGTTTGATTCACCCTAAGGCAACCAGAATCACTAATGTATCTATTACAAAACATCTTACATAAGAGCTTTAACGGTATTTACAAGTGTGGTTCAATCAACTGAACAACTGTATGTCTTAGACTCTGGAAGTCTATTGTGCAGCTAAAATGGTTTCAGCTTTAATCTCACCAAAAGGCAGTTCGAAACGAGTATCCAGCAGGACTCGATGAGGCGTCGGGTTCTTCGTGCCATATATCTCATCAGCTTTCATCAGGATCTCTGCATCCAGGAAAAGCCACTCACCTGAGCCCTCCTGAAATTAAATTAAACACATCCATTTATTTACACAGACAATGCCTTTGCATGTATTCTTCAGTTTGCCACTGATTCTTTTAATATGGATTTAAGGCAGTTTTATTGCCTGCGTTTTTACTATTTGTAGCTCAAATAGTGAAGCCAAGCAGCATTTATAATGAAGTATGTTCAATCTTGTGAAAAATTCAAAGTTCATTTTCTTAGTATTATGTGGGTCAAACAAGAAACATTTTTGTATAAACTACTTTTTTGTATGTAAAAAATACATTTTTAACTTTTTGATTTCCAATCATCCTGTAACTGTAATCATTGTGTAATCATCATTTTAAAATGTTTATTTTATTTGAAACTGCCTTTATACTTGAAATTTCTATATTACTTTACCTTAGGTTTAGGAATCCAGTATTACATTACTTTTTAAACTAACAAGTAATTTATGAACAGAATATAACCAACACACAGGTGCTTGCATTTACTTATTGTAGCATTTGAATTTTTAGTACGACTAAAAATTCAAAGCGTCCCTTTTATGAGATCATCATTTCACATCTTTGATGTGCCAACTGGAATTACTTACATATCTCTTTCTAGAGAAAAATGCAAAAAGACTGAGCAATATTTATGTAAAGGTACAAACTTTTGTTTTGTCTTTTGTTAATTTTACTAATTTAACATCTATTGATTGATGAAGTTAAATGCTGTATCTTGTTACTTCTAATGGTTGGATTTCAAGTGGCTTTATTCCACCTCAAACGTCTGGACTAAAATTCACTTGTACTTGACTTTTTGTGTGGGTGTAAGTTCTGACCTCCTCTGATTGTCGGATACTTTTTAATGGAATCCATGCAGTCCCCACCATGGTGTCCCAGATGAGACCTTTGTTCCACACCTCAACAATGAGGCCGAGGTCCAGCCGGTTGATCTCACTGTGGAAATTCAAGTAACAAATGATGATGATGATAAAATGTCACTGAATAAAAGAATGAAACAATAACTGTGTTGTAATGTAACTTTGTTATCAGAATTTTTTCAAATGGAAAAAAAAAAAAAAAAAATTAAACCAGAAATTTCTAAAGGATTGCTATCAGGAGCTACCATTGCTTTAGCTACAAAAGCTACTTCCTCATTTTGTCCTGTATTAGCTGTCATAATCATTTCCAGCCTTGTTTTGTCATTCAACATGCTATTCAAAGGGCTCAGAAACAGCTTGATGACAGTATTAAAATGGCACATGAATTTTAAAAGCAGCCACACACCAAGGGCATTTGCATATTCTCATCTGTGCCACTTTACAACTACTGACGGACCAAACAAAAACAAGATCAGAGAAAAGATAATTAAAAAAAGAGCAAGGGTGGGGGTGAGGGTGAGGGTGGTGGGGTCCAGAGAGCTCAGGTGCAGAGATAAAGGCCTCCTAAATCATTTGCTCATTGAAAAAGAGAATAAATACATATAGCAAGGTATTTAACTGGGGCTAATTTTAACTGGGAGATTTATTGTTGTTCAGGTTGCTGTTTAGATTATCTTTTCCAGTTGTGCCACCTTTTATTTTAACGTTTTGCATTATCCCTGTCTTTTTAAACATGCAAAATAAAGTGGTAAAGCCAAAATTGCTAATAAATTGCAATCTGTCATTTTATATTTCATGGGCTATTGTCTTGGCGCATGCAGGCCCATAGCCTATATGGAGTAATGTTACTGACCTTAACAAATCTGATAGTCAGGTGCTAAAAGGCCAAAAAAAACAAAAACAAAAAACAAAACATAAGAAAATGTAAAAAAATGTTTTTGACTTGTTAAATTAAGAGAAGGTGCAACTGAATGAACAATTGCAATTATTAATTTCCAAAACTGAGACAACCACTACTTACTCATTTCTTTTGTTCAGATGATGTTTTTAGACAATATATTTAAAATGTAACATAAAAATCCTAAAAAAAAAAATAATTGCATGGTAGGTACTAAGATACAAAGTTTGAAATTGTAAAGTTCCCATTTTCTGCTTAAATTTAAGCTGGGTCGCTGTAACAGATGGTGCTCAGAATTTGCTGGAAAGCCTGATGAATAACCTGGAATTACACCTAGTGACAAAGCATGAATGGACAGTTGGAGGAAGGGGGCCTGGAAAAACAAACACTGTCCCAAAAGAGGGAGTTCACAAAAGACAAACAATGGTGTGCATGCAACAAAGTGTTGCCTTTTGTGTCACCATAGATACATTTCACTGGGAAAGGAAAATGGGGAAATTAAATCAATAAATTATAAGGAGGAAATGACCAACAGCTGTTTTACGATATACTGTCTTAAACTGAATGGAGTAGATGAAAAACTGCAGCTTTTAAGCATTCGGATGAGTAGCTTGGAGAGATAAAAGTGTGGATGTGTTGTTTCTATCCCAGAGTTGCAGAGTGTGTGGTTTTTTATGTATTAATGTTTGATTTTGTTCCCCATGATAAATGGTGTGTTTCTGTATTTGCTTCTGTATTTCAGATTGACTTACAACATGAAATCTTGCTCCCAGCAGGGCTGGTCCCCACGCACAGTGATAGTTGTGCTTTTAACATTTTGCACCTTCAGTGTCACATAGGTGTTGAACTTATCTGAAACAGAGGAAAAGGCAGATTACGATTTAATTATAATGAGGAGGCAGCAATGCATTGAGAGCATATGGAGGTGAGTTAACAGAAATATATGGGATTCATTAAGCAGTGATGAAGACACATAGCATAGTAAGACTCTGGACAGTCTACTATTAGATAGAACAACAGAAGTGATGTTTGAACTACCATGCCAGCTCTACCTCTGTTTTCTGTAGGAGGAAAAAAAAAAAAAAAGACATCAGGACTATCAGTGAGAGTAAAAGCAGATAAGTCTCCTCCCCCGACTATATCAAGCCAAAGCCAGGCCAGGCCAGCAAATCAACCCTGTTAATCTCCAATGAGAGCCAAACCCTCACAGCACATAGTACTACAGGATGTACAAATACATGGTACGTCTCCAGTCCACTATGAAGTGCAGCTGTTTTTTAAAATACGCTTGTCCTCTAAAAAATACACGTTGTAAAGGAAGCATGCCTGCTCATGATGTAATAAAGCTGAAGTCCCTACTGACCTGTTACTATTACAGAAAAGGTCTCTGTCAGCCCTAATATCATCAATACATAGAATATAGTTGGTTTAGTTGCATTTTTAACATTTGACGCAACAGTTGACAGTGTGACCTACACACAAAAATTGAGCCCTGCTAGGAGTCTACTGCCTGTCAAAACCACTGAAACATTGACTCAAATGTCTGTGTGTGTGTGTATACAACTTCCACACCCAGTTATCTCAGTCAACTTCCTTCCGCCAGTAGTGCTGGACAGCTGATTCTCAACAACTGTATGCTTCAGCGGTCAGTGCTGAAGGGGAGGGTGGATGGATGAGGGATTAGGCAACCCGTGCTAAAACTACCAGCTTTTCATTTCCTACTGTGGGGTTGGGGGCATCAACACGTGTCTGTTGATGTGCTCATTTTTCCTCATGTAGTTACCAGTCCTGCACAACTGGTGGTCCTCGCTAAAACTCAACCCCCCCACATGGACACAAAAGCTGAGTGGGAGGAGGACTGAAAGGGAAAGGAAAAAGGATGTCTGTTTCTGACTGATAAATAAAATATATTTTATCATATGTCATGGAATACTACTCAGGAAATAGCTCACAATCATCTGATTCAAGATATTAAAAGCACACCTTCGTATAAACAATGTTTCCCCACGTCAATTAGAGTAGCACAAGTAGCAAGGTATAAATGCTCACACCAACAAAATGACAAGACTATCAAGCAGAAAATTATATTAACATTTAACAACATACAGCTGGATGGATATCATCTTGAAGTTTTTAGCAAAAAATATACAACTATATTAATATCAATATGTTTTCCATAAACTGACAGCACGTTTATGGTTCTGAGTTTCTGATTTTCTGAATGGTGGCTCCCTGATATGGACAGCCAACAGTGCAAGCAGGCAGTGCAAACACACACAAATGACCCTCTTCGGTCTATGGGAAACAAAAGCAAGAGATCAGCTGTTCCTGTATAGACCAGTCACATGACCACACTAAACAAAGATTACCCTGGTTCCTCCAGCAACAAACCGAAACATTTACCCTACACTAGCATTTAACATAGCAGCCAGATAAGTAAAATCAACTCCTTGACATAATAGGACTGCCAGCAGTTGACACAGGTGGATTCATACAAGTGACACAGAACATAAATAGATACTTAAGACTGCAAACTGAAACAGTGTACTTAAAGCGCAGAATCCCTGAAGTGACACTGAGACTGTGAACCAGGACTGACAGGACACAGACCTAATTAGTGTCCTGTGAAAACAGTAGCAACAGAACACACACAGTATTAAAGTTGCCTCGGGGATGCTGAAGCTTTTCCCTAATTAGATATTCCATGCCTTGTGCCACACTTGGGCCAGCTCCCATGAATAGCAGAGACGAGATAAGGCAAGAGGATGTATGGATTAGATAAGAGCCACTTAGTGGTTGCCGGACCTTTACACCAGGCGTTTTCCTTGATGTGGCTGACACTGTTGAGGAGGAAGAAGTAATAACTGACTGGAGGGAAAAAAGAGGGAAAAAAAGTATCCACTTGCATAGCAATGTCTCACTAATATAATGGACTAGTCTTATGTTTGTATTGTATAGTTTGAGGACAACAAACATTAAATGAAAACTGAAATTTCAGTCAAAAATACCACTATTATAAAACACATCATACACATGTAATAATTAGCTTAGTGCAAATATATGATAGTGCATGTAAGCGTAAGTACTACGTAAGTAATGGGAAGTGCAATAAAGAAAAGACAAACTTATTTGTCACCGGTCAAATCTGCTAGGCAATAACTGGGCTATAACTGCTATATGAGAAAAACAAAGTTTAGCAAACACAAATTCTCAAGATAAAACCGAAGGTACATTTCCTAAGTGGTCACATTTTATGTCTACAGTGTCTTTCTTTGTAACTTGTTATGACAAGCAGCTTGGTAAATACAGATTTAACTCCACACAGATTTCAAAATCCAGTATGCTGAAAAGTGTTTTTATTTCTTGCTAACTCCATTAGAGATCTTTATTGTATTCAGAAGCAAGGTATCCACCTGCACATCAGTGCCTTACCCTACATAAGAGATATGTTTTATATGGTTACTGTATAGTATGAGGATCACAAAAATCTAATGGAAATCAACATTTCAGTCAATATGCAATTATTTAAAAAGAAATTATGGATATCTCTACAGTAATCTCAGCACAATAGTTAGATAAATAATCTTTAAATTATTGCAAATATATGTCTTACATGTACTTACAGGCTATTAAGACATGGGAAGTGCAGTAAAGATAAGACACATATTAGTCACTAGCCAAATATACTGTTTAAGACAGTTTCATATCAAGTTTGCTTGTTTTTCAATGTGTTTATGAGACAGTTATATTTATTCAATTCTAAAAATCTTCTTAAAATCACTGATTTTAAAATCTTAAAATCAGTGTCTGCCTCAAGAATCTTTACACCAGGTTTAACCATCAGTGTGCACATTTAATGAGAATTTCCAGATACTGTAAAAGAATGAAACTTTTAATAAGATTAATGCATAAGATTATGTATTGTATATAGTGAAAAACCCTTATTCTGTAGGCCCATTGCAGAAAGAAACTGCAGTGTTGATTGAGTCAAGTTGCCTAACCCAAACTGTTGCTTACATATATAGACACATGATCTGTTGACCATGTTGGTGCAAATTTAAACATGCTTATGTGTGCATACAATTATTTGGTTTCCAACA